AGCCGCGCCCCCTGTTCGCCTGGAGCAAGTGGAAGAAGCGGATGAGCACGTCCATGTCCGCGGCCCCAGCGCGGAGGCCCGTGTTTGACGACAAAGAGGACGGTGAGTTCGGCCGCAGGGCCGGGACTCCGAGCCGCGCTGGGCGCCCCACGCGCTCTGGCGGGAGGGCCGCGGCGGCAGGACCCCCTCGCATCCAGACACCGTGGCCACCGGATGGGAAGGCGTCCCGCTTGGTTTCCGAGGAAACTGGCGGACCGTGCCTCCGGTGCCCACGCGTGTCCAGGGCGCCGCCTGCCTCCTACGTGTCCAGTGGCGGCTCCTGGCTTAGGCGCGGCGCCTCCCGCTGTTCCCAGGGCTGTTCGTTTTCCTGTTAGGGGCTGTGTGCGCCTCGGTTCATCACCCCGCACCCGCATTGTGCCCCGCGTGCAGGGGAGGTGCGTGCCCCACAGGTGGCTGGGGGCCCCTGGCCCGCACTCTCAGTCTCCAGGGGGACAGGCGAGTGGCCCCCAGCATGCCCAACCTTTGCATTCGGATGTGCGTTAGAGATGGCCTTGCCTTCCTGGACGCCTTAGGGAAACTGCTTTTCTCTCATGTCCTCCTGCAGATAAAGCTACCAGAGTACAGGTGTCGCTTGAGTGGCCGTAGGGAGGTTGGTGCTGGTGGAAAGCAGGTGACAGGCAGCAGTCCATCCGGACACACCTCCCGAGGCCCTGCTGGACACCGGGAACCTTTGACTTAGCACCTGCAGGGAAGGTGGCCGTGTGGTGTCCGCCTTTGGGGCACTGTGACACATTCACATACGGCCCTTTTCTACAGATGCCACACAGATCATTTAAATGGTACAGTGATGACACATATGATGTTTTTTGACATTTTCCTAAAATAGTTGAAATCTGCGTTTTTTCATTTGTAGGCAGCCTGCAGAGTATGATGGGTCTTTTATAATTTTAGAGCACAGCTCAGCCTGAGAGCCCAAGCTACTTATTTCTGATAAATAATTTAAGCATTATAGGAAATTACAGTAGTCCGACCTCAGGCCGATGTTGGTGAGTGTGCAGGCCCTGTGCCAGCCATGGTCAGAGGGAGTCATGGGGAGCCCGCTGTTGTGCTGGGGTGGGGGCGGGGCCGGCCACCCAGCAGGGGGCGGTGATGGTTGCCTGCGCTCCGGGATGGGCATTAAGGACCAGCAACGCGGGCTCAGTGTGATCTGGGACTGGCTTTCATTGTGTTCTGAACTTGGGGACAGCAGAACCCACTGCTGTGAATGTTTCATGTTATATGTTTTTGTTTTTAGCGTAAACGTTCCAAGTAAAGAAAGCCCAGAGAGAATTAGGAACTAATCAGGGAGCAGATTTACGTTTAGCTTCTTACTGCAGGATGAGAACACATCTGAGAAATTCATCTGATTTCAGCGTCTGCTGGTGCCAGCCGAAAGCGGGCCACTCTCTTGAGCCTTCGCTCTGTGCTCTCCGAGCCAGAGGTGGAGAGGCTGATGTGGAACTAAAGCAGGGCTTGGCGAGGTAGGATTTTTCCACGTGCTCAGTGTGTTACGTTTCAGAATTCAAGGGTCGTTAAAAAGGCAAAAAGAACACGGAACCTCCACGGTGCTCACAACCTGATTGGAGAATTAACGCGTCCGTCCGCCTCGCCCCTGATTTGCCTGTGGAAGGATGGCCTAGGCACCAGCTGTCTGGGCTTGTGGGGGGTGGGTAACTGATGTTGGCTACAGGTGCTGGCTTTTGAGGACATGTGACCCTCCGTCACATGCTCATCGCTGGGCATGGTGGCCCCAGCCCCAAACTGAACATTTGAGATCGGGAGGCCAAACCTGTCCCCGGGCTCTGTGACTGCAGACGTTACCTGGGTGGGCGGCCACTTTGTTCCACGTTTATTCCACGATTGCGTGTCACCATCAGGGCACCTACAGCTCAGGAGTCATAGCCGTGTCTGCAGAGAGAGCATTGTGCAGCTCTTAGCATGAAGGCCCTGGGCTTATTTGGATGGAAAGGTGGGGTTTGGAAAGGAGGGAGGAACGTCTTTCAGGAGGGTAGTCGTGCCCCCCGAGTCCACCTCTTCTCCAGGCTTGGGTGTCAGGTCACCCATCCCCTCCAGACTGCGTCCCAGGACTTCCCCGACCCCACTGGGGAGCGGGCTTAAAGAGGTGACGATGTGGCGCTGGTGACTCGCAGCTACTGGGACTGCACAGTTGCTATGGCAACGTGAAACCTTCTGATGACTTTTTAAAATATTAAAACACCCAGTTAATATATCAAATTTGGTAGGCAGAGAATAGGAAAAAAGAAATAAGAGGGCAACTTAACAAAGTGCGAGGTAAATAAATTCCAACTAAGAAACGTCGTTGTGATATGAAAAATCTCAAATGTCCTCGGTCCCTGCCAGTCCTGTGGCGTCTAGAGCCATTGTCCTTACCTGGTAGGGGTTGGGGGCGTGTTGAGGATTCTCTGTGCCTCTTTCTCACCCCAGAACCATGGGCCAACTTTTCCTCTCCCCTCAGCTCCCTCCTCCCATCTGCCCCTCCCTGGCTTCTGGGGACAATTTGTTTTAGGGACTGAACTTGCTTGGGGACCAGAATTTCTTCTGATGCTCTGCCCCAGAGCTGTGGTTNACTTCTGGGGGCAGTTTGTTTTAGGGACTGAACTTGCTTGGGGACCAGAATTTCTTCTGATGCTCTGCCCCAGAGCTGTGGTTTTGGACGAGCCCCTCACGTCTCTCTGTCTGGGCGACCCCTGTGCTAGAAGGGGCTTCAGCACCTTCCTGCTGAGCAGCTGGGGAACCTGGGGCACCGGCCCTTCTCAGCAGCCCCGGCTCGTCTCACACCTAAGGTGGCACGGGCTTGCTCGCCGGGAGGGCCTGACCGCTGAGAAAGTGTGCCTTCGCCCAGGGAGACTGGGCGTGAGAACCTGAGCAGGCTGCACAGAGCCTGGCCCGGTGCGGGTGCGCGGGCCGGCTGGGGGCAGGAGGGCTGCCTGGCTCTCAGGTCACCTTTCTTACAATTAAAAACAAGCCTTTGTTTTTCGTAGTTATAGAATTTTCAAATGTGTAAATTTGGAAGGATTTGATAGTTTCCTGTTTTTCCTAAAATTGTCCTACATAGGAAAACCAGGACATCTGTAAGTCAGCTCGAGAGAAGGTGTCTGTGTACATCTTCCCAGCCTTTTTCGAGGAACGTCCTCAGTCGCAGCCACGCAGAAAGACGCCGTTTTCTTTGATGCAGAAATGGGATCGTGCTCCATATATGGTTTTGTAATAACCTGCTCTTTTAGTTAGCAATACGTTGCGGACGTCTGGCCGATCTGCAGCGTTGCTTGGCTAAATTTACAACAGCGGTTCTCAATCCTGGCTGTGACTCGGACTCCATGGGCCCCGCCCCCCGAAAGTTGGACTGAATTTGCTGGGTGGGGAGGGGGGAGCTCAGGCATCAGGGCATCTTTAAGCCCCGCCCCTGGTGATTTTGATGGGCAGTCAGGGCTGAGAACCACTGCTTTGTAGCTCTCGTCTGTGTAGATATAATGCTATTTACTTAACTCCCTATTGTAGGACATCTGGGTGTTTCCACTTTATAAATACCATAAACAATTTAACAACGAACGTCTTTCTCTGTTCATCTTTGCTCACTTGGCCTTATTTCCTTAGGATAAATTCCTAGAAATGACATTGCCACGTCACAGGAGAGCCCCTGTAAAGTAGCTGGATACACCTGCCCAGCTCCTGCCATGAGCCAGCCGCTGTCCTGGGTGCTGGTTAGACAGCTAGTTACACAGACGTGGCTGCTGCAAGTGTGGGGTAACAGGACAAACGGGGAAGCAGGGACAGAGAGTAGGCAAGGAAACGTGAATAAACCACTGAGCAGAGAGAAAGGGGCGGCCAGGAAGGGAGCCCAGTGTTTGCTTCTCTCTGCGCCCATGAAAATACTTTTCCCGAGTCCCCGCCAACTGTGGGTGTTGGTGGCGTTTACATTTTCTGACAACCTGAAAGGTAAAGAGGTTGTATGAACACCTCGAGTGTCTGAGGTTGGTCACCTGTGCTTTTCTGAGTTGCTGGCACCCGCCTTGGCCAGCACTTCCCGGGCAAAACTGGGATGTTTGCTGCCTGTTTCTCACTGTTCCAAGTACGTGGAGGCTGCCCCCCAACAGCACCCCCACGCGTTCATCATGTATCTGGTAGGGCCGCTAGCCCCTGCTTTGCTTTCGTTTCTGGTGTGGATGTGTTTAATGTCCGTGTGGTCAGATCCATCAGTGTCTTCGCTCTGGCAGTTTCCTGCCTTGGTGTCATGTTTCCGAAGCGGGTTCCCAGGCACAGGTGGAAATAATTCAATTTGGAAATCTCCACCTGCGTGTTCTTCCCCTGCTTCGGTGGTTTGACTTTTTATCTTGAAGATTTCAGTTTAGACAAACATTTGATATAGGATGAGAATGTTTTCCTCCTGCGAGTCCTGCACTTTCCTAAGCTGAGCACATTTGGGCTGTTTCTGAATTTAAAAATGTATTCCTATTGTGTGTGAGTTGCTTGTTTTTGCTGACCTGTGGAGGGGATCTTTCTGCCCATTACGTTTCACGCGGGTTGGAGCTGGTCTGGAGGAAACCTTACTAACAGTACTCGCCCTGTCTGTGGCCACTCTGCCTTGGTTCCTGAGCTGTTTCCTTAGGCCTTGTGGGTGGTCAGTCATGTCACCTACAGAGAATAACTATCTGGCTACTTCCAGGTGATGCTTTGTTCCGTGTTGCTTTGCCCAGACCCTGTAGGGTGGAGGGATATGGTGGTGCTGAGCCCACATGTGGCTGACCCCCTAGTGCTGATGGGGCCGTAGTTCCCAGAGTTGGTCTAGCCCCAGCTTACTAAGTCTTTGTCCAGTGGGGCGTGGACTTGAGTTTTAACAGGTGCCTTTTTCCTTCCCTGCTGACCCTGAAAAGAGGGGTGGGAGAGAGGGTGCCCTCCATGTGGGCCAGGCGTGGGCCAGTGGCAGTTCATCCCCTCCTCCACCACACATTTGCTTTGGTGGCTAGAAGCCTGGTGGCTGCAGAGGCTGAGGTCCTTTACCAGTGGGAGAAACAGTGCAGGGGCCCCTGGTGTGGGGGTGGGGT